TTCATCCAGTTTGCAAAGCTTGACGTTTGGTACTGGCTTTGACCAGACCCGGGAGGACGTGACTTTTCCATCCGATTTGCAAAGCTTGACGTTTGGTGCTGCCTTTAACCAGAACCTGGAGGGCGTGACCTTTCCATCCGGTTTGCAATGTTTGACGTTTGGTGCTGCCTTTAACCAGAACCTGGAGGACGTGACCTTTCCATCCGGTTTGCAAAGCTTGACGTTTGGTGCTGCCTTCAACCAGAACCCGGAGGGCGTAACCTTGCCATCCGGTTTGCAAAGTTTGACCTTTGGTGCTGACTTTAACCAGAACCTGGAGAGCGTGACCTTTCCATACAATTTGCAAAGCTTGACGTTTGATTCCGTTATTTCAACTTTGCATCCTCGATGCTCTTATTGATTTTATAAACAGTGGCAATGGCTGGGGCTGAGCCTAGTACCCCACATAGATTCCTTTTCTGATATGGCATCCGGCTAAGCCAAGAACCGGCAAGACGTTTATTTGCATCACCATGGCATCTAAATACGAGCACCTCCAGCACTTCCACGTCCAGCACTTCAACGTCGGGCACAAGTACAGCGGGCACAAGTACTTCAAGCGCTTCCACGTCCAGCACTTCAACCGGCAGTACCAGCACATCCTTCGGCAGCACAAGCACCTCAAACACTTCTGGTCCAAGCACCTCCACAAGCAGCACTTCTACATCCAGCACTTCAACGTCCAGCACCTCAACAAGCAGCACAAGCACTTCCAACACCCAGCAGGCAGCTGGAGCACAAGCACTACCAGCACCACTGTAAACACCAAGCACATCAACAAGGTTTACCAGCAGGAGTACCTCCAGCTCATCCACCTCAAGCACTTCCAGTTCAAGCACTTCTGAGGCCGCCTCATAGATTCCTTTTCTGATATGGCATCCGGCTAAGCCAAGAACCGGCAAGACGTTTATTTGCATCACCATGACCTCTAAATACGAGCACATCCGGCACTTCCAAGTCCAGCACTTCAACGTCGAGCACAAGTACATTGGGCACAAAAACTTCAAGCACCTCAACCAGCCGTCCCAGCACATCCTCCAGTAGCACAAGCACCTCCAGCACTTTCACGTCCAGCACTTCAACTTCAAGCACAGGTACGTCAAGCACAAGTACTTCACCTCAACCAGCCGTACCGGCACATTCCTAACACAAGCACCTCCAGCACTTCCATGTCCAGCACTTCAACATCAAGTATGAGTACACCAAGCACAAGTACTTCCAGCACCTCCACATCCAGCACCTCAACCAGCAGTACCAGCACGTTCTCCAGCAGTACAAACACATCCGGCACTTCAACGTCGAGCACAAGTACTTCCAGCTCCTCCACATCAAGCACCTCAACCAGAAGTACCACCACATCCTCCAGCAGCACAAGCACGTCCAGCACTTCAACGTCCAGCACAAGTACTTCCAGCTCCTCCACATCAAGCGCCTCAACCACTGTAACCACCACTAGCACAACTTCAAGGTCTACCTCAAGCACATCAACAAGCTTCACCAGCAGGAGTACCTCCAGCTCATCCACCTCAAGCACTTCCAGTTCAAGCACTTCTGAGGCCGCCTGATAGATTCCTTTTCTGATATGGCATCCGGCTAAGCCAAGAACCGGCAAGACGTTTATTTGCATCACCATGGCCTCTAAATACGAGCACCTCCAGCACTTCCACGTCCAGCACTTCAACGTCGGACACAAGTACAGCGGGCACAAATACTTCAAGCGCTCCCACGTCCAGCACTTCAACCGGCAGTACCAGCACATCCTTCGGCAGCACAAGCACCTCAAGCCCTTCTGGTCCAAGCACCCCCACAAGCAGCACTTCTACATCCAGCACTTCGTCCAGCACCTCAACAAGCAGCACAAGCACTTTCAACACCTCAGCCGGCAGTTGGAGCACAAGCACTACCAGCACCACTGTAACCAACACTAGCACAACTTCAACGTCTACCTCAAGCACATCAACAAGGTTTACCAGCAGGAGTACCTCCAGCTCATCCACCTCAAGCACTTCCAGTTCAAGCACTTCTGAGGGAGGCCGCCTCATAGATTGCTTTTCTGATATGGCATCCGGCTAAGCCAAGAACCGGCAAGACGTTTATTTGCATCACCATGACCTCTAAATACGAGCACATCCGGCACTTCCAAGTCCAGCACTTCAACGTCGAGCACAAGTACATTGGGCACAAAAGCTTCAAGCACCTCAACCAGCCGTCCTAGCACATCCTCCAGTAGCACAAGCACCTCAAGCACTTTCACTTCCAGCACTTCAACTTCAAGCCAAGTACTTCAACCACCTCAACAAGCCATGCCGGCACATTCCTAACACAAGCACCTCCAGCACTTCCATGTCCAGCACTTCAACATCAAGTATGAGTACACCAAGCACAAGTACTTCCAGCACCTCCACATCCAGCACCTCAACCAGCAGTACCAGCACGTCCTCCAGCAGTACAAACACATCCGGCACTTCAACGTCGAGCACAAGTACTTCCAGCTCCTCCACATCAAGCACCTCAGCCAGCAGTACTACCAACACATCCTCCCGCAGTACCAGCACCTCCAGCACTTCAACGTCGAGCACAAGTACAGCAAGCACGAGTACTTCAAGCACTTCCACGTCCAGTACCTTGACCAGCAGTACCAGCACATCCTCCGCAGTATAAACACCTCCAGCTTGTCCACTTCAAGTACTTCAACGTCAAGCCCAAACACATCAAGCACACGTGCATCAAGCACTTCAACCAGCAGTACCGGAACATCCTCCATCAGCACAAACACCTCAAGCACTTCCAGCCCAAGCACCTCCACATGCAGCACTTCTATATCCAGCACTTCAACGTCCAGCATGCCAACAAGCAGCACAAGCGCTTCCAGCACCTCAACCAGCAGTTGTCCAGCACTTCAACATCAAGTACAAGCACAAGTGCTTCCAGTACCTCCAGATCAAGCACCTCAACCAGCAGTACCAGCACGTTCTCCAGCAGTACAAGCACGTCCGGCTCTTCAACGTCGAGCACAAGTACTTCCAGCTCCTCCACATCAAGCACCTCAACCAGCAGTACCAACACATCCTCCCGCAGTACCAGCACCTCCAGCACTTTCACGTCCAGCACTTCAACGTCAAGCACAAGTACAGCAAGCACGAGTACTTCAAGCACTTCCACGTCCAGCACCTTAACCAGCAGTACCAGCACATCCTCCGCAGTATAAACACCTCCAGCATCTCCACGTCCAGCACTTCAATGTCGAGCACAAGCACAGCGAGCACAAGTATTTCAAGCGCTTCCACGTCCAGCACCTCAACAAGCAGCACAAGCACTTCCAGCACCTCAGCAGGCAGTTGGAGCACAAGCACTACCAGCACCACTTTAACCACCACTAGCACAACTTCAACGTCTACCTCAAGCACATCAACAAATTTTACCAGCAGGAGTACCTCCAGCTCATCCACCTCAAGCACTTCCATGTCTAGCACTTCTGAGGCCGCCTGATAGATTCCTTTTCTGATATGGCATCCGGCTAAGCCAAGAACCGGCAAGACGTTTATTTGAATCACCCTGACTTCTATATACGAGCAAATCCAGCACTTCCAAGTCCAGCACTTCAACGTCGAGCACAAGTACAGCAAGCACAAGTACTTCAAGCACTTCCATGCCCAGCACCTCAACCAGCAGTGCTAGCACCTCCTCCAGCAGTATAAGCACCTCCAGCTTTCCACTTCAAGTACTTCAACGTCAAGCACAAGCATATCTAGCACAAGTACATCAAGGACTTCAACCAGCAGTGCTTGCACATCCTCCGGCAGCACAAACACCTCAAGCAATATTTTTACCTTCTCACCGGTGACCATGCCTTTTCCCTCCGTGCCGCTGATTATTGGAGAGCCTACTTCCGCATCCCAATCCAGAATGGCAACGACACGTACTACGCCTTCAACATCAATCAGCCCCAGCCCACAACTACTTCTCAACCACCTACGATCCCGGTACTAGCCGCCCAACTTCGAGCCTGCCCTTTTGGCCAATCCGCATGTGGCCTGCACCTACGTCCTCATCATCGACAACTACAGGTGGCCTTCCTAGTGATCAATTGCAGGCACTGGCCCAGGGACTTCACGCACTGGCCTCATCGAGCCGTTCTGACACATCTGAGACGACACCACCAGCCTGGACGGCCCTCCGCTGCTGAGCTGTTCCTCGGACAAAAAACGACCCTGCTGTGGCAGGGTGTGTGTGTGAAACGTCTGTATAGACGTAAAACTTCCATGGCATTGTTGAATCTGGTATTTTGGTATTATTTCAGTTTTCAAACAAGCAGGGGGATGGAGTGTGCCTCAGATGTCTCCATCCAACGAAGACGCATCTGTTGCACAGTGATATGGATTGGGGACGCTCAATCCACGTACCTGCTCAATATTTTTTTCATTTTCGTCCATGGCCACCGGCTAAGCCAAGAACCGGCATGTCGTTTTATTCAACCTCAATTTATTCAACTTCAACCTTTTTACATAGTTTTACACGGTCGCCGCAATCTGATTGAGCTGCATCTGAACAATCCTTTGGGATTATAATACACTATCGCCGACACATCGTCGCCGATGCATGCTGGTTGGACAATCTTCGCCGACGACATCGCCGATGACATTACTTTTGGTTGATTAACTTCCCGATCCTTATTCTATTCTTTTTGAAGTCGATTCAGGGCATGGAGAACATTCAGGAGAACTTCCATTATTCGTAGGATGCATCGTTAATTTCATTGTTTCGTATCTAATCTGCATGTTTCAGGATTCAGTTCCTGCCGGATCATATAATGATCCATTCTTGTCTAGTGTGTGTGTCTCAATCTCTCTCTCTCTATATATATATATATAATTATATATATATATGTATGCATAAATACGAGAATTACATTTTTTTTCCACTGAACAACCCTCTTTACCTCCCAATACAAACATGTCGCTGGCCTCATGATCACGGATGGCTTGGCATGGCCATCTGGGATCCCCAGAGCTTTGGCCAACGCGTCCTCCGTTTTGCTCTTGCACTGGTAGATCAAAAAGCTAAAGGGGTGATCATCAGGGCGCTTCTTGAACGTGATCCTGGCCGAGGCTTGGTAGATGTTGCTAGAATGTTGCCTGTGGTGGTCGGGCCCCTTTCTGTGCCAAAAACACCGGGGTAGTCACTTAGTCAGGAGTTCATCATTCCAAACCAGGATGGAAAAGTAAACACATGTTCCAGCAACACGGCTTAAATGATGTAGGAAACAAAACAACAACCCATAACAACCATAACGACCCTCGTCCCATTCACGGCCTCTTCTTCAGCACGCTGACCACCTGCCAGGGAACATCTGAAAGGCATGGAAACACGTCCGTCAAAGGATCCATCGGGTAACCTCCAATATCCTCCACGAAAACTATCTAAAATTAAATAAAACTAATATAGATCTGGAACACCCACTATTTCTAGATCATTTATGATCATTTTCCTGGCAGTTCAAACTCACACCATCTTTTTCCCCACCTGCCAGGTGAGGGTTGTTAGATTTTATGTCAGTTGCCTCCTCCTCCTTCTCCTCCTCCTCCTCCGCCTCCTGCCTCGTCCTCCTCTCCTCCTCGTCGTCCTCGTCGTCCTTGCTCAACTGCGACCCGCGATCCACAGTGTTCTCTGCCGGACCTCAACCACGACCATCCACGCCCAGTGTTCCCTGCCGGACCTCAACCACGACCATCCACGCCCAATGTTGGCTGCCGCACCTCAACCACGACCATCCTCGCCCAGTGTTCCCTGCCGGACCTCAACCACGACCATCCACGCCCAGTGTTCCCTGCCGGACCTCAACCGCGAGTATCCACGCCAAGTGTTCCCTGCCGGACCTCATGTAGGAAGATATGGGACAAAGAATGTGCAGAAGAAAGTTAGAAAGAAGGTCAGAAAGAATGTCAGAAGATATGCCAGAAGATATGCCAGAAGATATGCCAGATAGAATGCCAGATAATATGCCAGAAGATATGCCAGATAGAATGCCAGATAGAATGCCAGAAGATTTGCCAGATAGAATGCCAGAAAATATGCCAGAAGATATGCCAGATAGATATGTCAGAAGATATGCCAGAAGATATGCCAGAAGATATGTCAGAATATATATGCCAGAAGATATGTCAGATAGAATGCCAGAAGATATGTCAGAATATATGCCAGAAGATATGCCAGATAGAATGCCAGAAGATATGTCAGATAGAGTGCCAGAAGATATGCCAGATAGAATGCCAGAAGATTTGCCAGATAGAATGCCAGAAGATTTGCCAGAAGATATGCCAGATCATATGCCAGAAGATATGCCAGATAGAATGTCAAATAGAATGTCAGAAGATATGTCAGATAGAATGCCAGAAGATTTGCCAGTAAGAAAATGTATAAATGTCATGGTGGGGATCACACGAAGTAAAGTAATTTAAGTGTCAAACTCTTGGGATTGCCCCGAGGCAAAGCGAGTTTGCCTGCATTTCAATATCCCATCATATCCCATCCATCATCTGATGCAGGATGATGGTCTAAAAATGCGAGGTCCCCCAGTTATAAGTAAGTGTATAAACCCATTTCCTATAGTTATAAGTATCATAGACATTCATAGATCATAGTTATTGGAGTTGTAGACCAACTTATCACATACCATATACTATATACCATATATATATATATGTGTGTGTATGTATATATATATATATGTGTATATATATATATATATACACATATATATATATATATACATACCATGAACCCAAACGTTAAGAAAGTTATAAGTCAACTTGGTTTAGCTATGTCTAGCCCATGGCATGTTATGGGCTCTGCCGCTCTGCCCTGACAGCCGCCTCGGTTTCGAGATCTCGCAGCTCTGGCGAAGAGATGTTGTACTTCATCTGGTCCATCACCTGCATGGCCCAGCTATGGCTCTGAATATGATGGGACCCCCCAGCTATGGAAAATGGGAAAATGCTGATTTTTTGGGTCTCTACATGGCTCTGAAAATAGGGATTGATCCCCCAGCTGCTCCAGCTGTGTTCATTTTAATAGGGAAAATGATGATAACGCAGTCGATGGAAGGGGGAATAGTTAACGAAAACAAGGCGCTGGTTTAACCAACCATTCAAGTTGATCAACGGATAGGAAGTGGGGGAAACATCTCTTGCTTTATACAATATAAAATAACACATTAATATGATAGATAAAGATATGAGAAAACTATATGCATGTATATATATATAGCAACGAGAAAAGCTTTGTATAATCCAGTTGTTCACCATATTCTAGCTTCTCAAGGTTACATGTCAAGGCAAATGTTATGGACATATAATAACTGCTTTCAAAGCTAGAGTACACCATCTTAGCACCTTCGGTGATATATAATATCTAGTAGGTTGCAACTTCTATCGGCGCGGATGTACATCACCTTTGTCTGTTGCATCACCGTTTATAGCTTTACCACAGTTTCATTGCCACAAGCTGCTTCTCATAAATGTAAACAACATTGAAAGTCCCAGAAATCGTTTGACAAACATGAACAAAAACCACGTATTGTGCTGGTAAATTCGTGGGCTCCTGCATATATTCTTCCCACGCCATACCACGCCTCTTGTGCTGCCGTGGTGATTGCACATTGGTTTGCACATCGCTGCAACCTCACCGCAGGAAATCATCCGAGGAGATGGAATGTTAGTCGAAGATGGCTGGAAGTTTTAGACACGTTTAAAAGTTAAAAACCATCTGAAAATATGAGTTGTGGGGGATCATTATCCCAAAAATGGTTACACATGGTTAAACTGTTCAACATAAAAAGCAGTTGAAACCATGCTTATGCATGTTTACTTGCGGGGAATAACATGTGCAAAAAAACCACCCATGTCCCACTCCACATTACAGGATCGAGAGCCGAGCCTTACACGCCAGAAATTTCCGCTGATTCCATCCGCGCACTTCTGCTTGCATGCTGGCCAGGGGCAGTTCTGAATTCATTTTGAACATTGGACAAGCTGAAAAGGAGAACACCCTGCATTTTTCATCAAACACATCAAGTCAGACCACGAGCGGCTCATTCAATGGATGGGTCAAGTCAGTCAAAGGGGAACTTCTTTGGATCTGTTTCGGGGGTCCCAACTACCAGCCAGCTGTGGCTCCCATATCCACCTTCCATTGGAGGACCCCCAGCCGGCATCTTGGCCATTTTGCCTGCAAGGCTTGCAGGAAATTCATGGAAATGATGGTCGTTCCATCTACCCTCTGGTAATTTAACATAGCTATTGAAAATCACCATTATTAATGGGAAAATCCACTATTAATGGTCATTTTCAATAGCTACGTTAAATTACCTGAGGGTATCAAATGTGAAGTGGGAAAACCAACACTGTACCCTCCGGATTTCTCTGGATTCCTTCGGCATGAACACAGCTGGATCACTAGGATTGTTTCATTGCAAGTGAACACAACCTTTCCATTGCCGCAGCAAGCCTGCCATGCAGTTGCAGTACAACATTGAGGGTAAACACAGCTGAAAAATGCTGAAACCTGGTGAACATAGAAAGGAGAAGCCACAGCAAGATCCTGAGTGTGAATGGTAAACACTGTGATATACAACCATTTCCCTTGCAGAAACGCAGCCGAAACAACGACTCACCAAGTCCTCTCACCGCGCCTGACTGTGGGTGTTTGCCTCGTAACTGAGAAAAGCATGTCAGCCGATCACCTATCCTGCAATCAAACCTGGCAACGACGATGGAACATATTTTCCATTCTTAAAAAAACATAGATCTATAGACAAACTTAGACATACAGTATACATTAGCTACTGACCGAAATGTGTTAACAAGCGTGAATATCATTGACAATCTACATGTTATGATTTTTCGATGTACATCTATCATGTTCAATTATTAGTGGTATATGTGATATTTCTGGAAGGTACCAAACCAATCTCTCAGCTGCTTCCAAGTGTCTTTCACAGGCTGCTTTGCAGCCCTCGAACTCCACCGCGGCCATGAACCCCGAGCTCGGGCATTTCTCCATGCAATTCCTTGTCTCAACGTTGGCGCATGCCATGCTGAGCACAGGAGAGCTGCACAAATATCGCAAGACTTCAAGATTGAGACACATATGACGTTGGGAAATGTCGTAAGGCCTCTGGAGTTCAGAAAGGTCTTTGCAATATTTTGCAATGATGTGCAATGTGTTTAGCAGCGATAAACACAAGCCCAGAATAAACATAATTTACCCACCTATGGTGACGTCTACCAAAGCGTCTCCAGCGCAATGGCGGGATCTGGCTCCTGGATGCAACATGACCAGGTGCAGTTTATGGGGCAACCTATGGCAGTAGCTAGTGGCAGTTTATATCTGTGTGTAAAGATAATCACATAAATAATATGATCATGTACTGTAAATCATGTACTGGAATAACATCATATATTAATTATAGGTGTATATAAATTTAAATAAGCAAAGTATATATATATATATCAGTATAAAATTATATACATATGCATTGATGTATTCAAACGTATTTACAGTATACACGTGTAAGCTACGTGCCTATGGGCCTGATCTTTTTGGAGGTGCATCCTGGGAACATCTGGTGCCCGTAGCTCAAGGTATCTGGGCCGCCAGCCATTCCGTTTCCATGATTCAACTCTTGTAACTTGAAAACTAAATAACAAACCGGCAGAAATCGGCTACAAATTCACGTCCCAAGTTGGAGAATGTGGGAAACTCATGGAAACTCAATGTCATAAACCTACCATTCGGGGATGGTTATCCATGTTTATCCCACCTAGGATGGTTTTATGGATGCTTATGTTTACCACATAACTTGCATCCCCACAGTGGAGCCATTGTTCGGATCCCATCGCTCCTCTTTCTCCTTCAGTCGCCGCGGCTTTGGGCACTGAGCCATGCAGGCGTGCTTCGCCACTTTCATCCTGGAGACTGGGCCAAGTTCAGCGGGTGGTGGTTTTTGTTGCCAACCAAACAACAGGAATCGGAATTCTTTGCGACCTCGATGGTTGTACTGTAAGAGTAGCCATTTGCAATGAAACACAACCAACAAGCGTACCTGGTAGTAGCTAGTAGCTAGTAGCTTGTACACTGTACATCACCGTACTGTAACAGGAGGAAAGGGGATCATGTGGGACTCCGAATCTGGATCAGATTTGACCCTGAAACATTCCTTGCATCAGGATCAAATACGCCTTTGAATTTGGATCATCCGCGACCCCGTTACCATTTAGGGATGTGAGGAGTGGGCCACTACCCTTTTTTTTTCTAAACATTTATAGATGCATGGGTTAAAACATGGTGCTGTAACACTATTTTAAATTGGGATTTAGACTTGCTAGTGGTGTTTTCACCAGTTTAGTTCCTTGGCTTAGCAAATATACAGGGGATGGATGCTTACTTGGCAAATGGAAACAAGTTCTTGCCCAGTTGCAGTAGATCTGCCGATTGCAGAAATCTGATTTGACCCTAGCTCTAGCGAAACAGCATCGCAAAACCACTGATTTCGTAGTCGATCTGGCTTTTGTGGAAACCCCCAATGTGTCCCTGTTTCTTTTTTGCGACCAAGATTATAGACTAATCCTATCTAATCCTTCCCCCGCAGTATGAAAATCCACAAACAAAACCATGGTGTAGCATTGAGGTGCTTTTCATTTTGGAACTCCCTGGGCCCACGGGGCCCACTGGGGCCCCGGCTGCATCATAGCAGGTGAGACCTGGAAAAGCGATGGTGTGCTTTCTGAAAGTGCCTTGGAAGGGTACCAGAACGATGAATATGAACGGCTACACATAATATCAGAAACATACCAGTATATAGTGCGTATATATATAATGTATGGTACTTAGTTCGTACATGTATAATCATGTGTATTGCATGAAAAACGTTTTTAAACAAATAGGTCTTTACCCATACATGTGTATATTTGTACTTGTCTATTGATCTGATCGTACATGTCATATTTGTGGACGTGGCTAAAAATAGGAGGGGTTTTGCAGCACATCCTAGAAAACTAGACCCACACTTCACACTGGCCTATATATATATATACATATACACACGCATACATGCTGTTGCAAACATGGTGATGTGTTTCCATAGCCATGTTTGCAAGAATAAACGTCATTTGATGACACACTCACAGTTTGCGGTTGTTTCAAACATGTAAAACCGTCCCAAACATCCAAATCTATCCTGACATCGCGATCTTAGCTATCGTTGTTCAACTTCCAATGTTTCCCCTGATAAGGAAGGCCACTAACATGGCTATCATACTGTATGTGTTCATTGCAAGTGTAACATACATTTCTTTAGACAGGACACCACTAACATTGCGATTTCTCTCTCTCCATCGCCCTCTCCGGGAGTTCACCATCATGGCTATGGTTTGTTGATTTTTAACCTATGTTGAGCCAAAACCAACCTGGAAAAAAGAGGTGAACTATTGAACAAAAAGCTGAGATCGTTAGTTTACAGATGTCACAGCATGCTAAATTGTGCTAGATTAGTATTTCTAGCTAGGCCTGGGATAGATGCTCCAGCAGAAATGCAATCCTCCACCATCCAACACCACCAGAACAATGTCCCATTGTTTTACAGTAGTTGGAAAACAATAGAGGGGTTGGTCTTGCATACCCTGATCAAGCCCAAACCAAAGGGAAAAGAACAACTACTTGGATGCGCACTTCAAGTTATAAGTGAATATATAGCCACAGAGTTATAGGGGTTATATATAAACTTATGGGGGCCTGTACTGGGTGCTGTTGCCACGGTTACAACTTACAACCATGAATAATCACCCCAACTGCACCCCCAACTATGCATCACCAGCTAGGGCAGCTAGGCCCCACCTCTGAATGTGAGGGCAGGGCCACATACCAAGCAACCCCGGCGACCTCAGGCCCGACAAAGTTCGAGCATCCCACAGGGTTTCAAGGGGGAGGCCTGAATCATGTTCAGAGAAATCATGATAAATATGATCAGCATTATCAATCCCAAAGTTGATTTAAGGATATGTTTCACCTAACTTAATTGGTTGCAACTTGATCAAAGGGTCTGGGTCGATGATCTTAGTTCACACACCTGAAATAAGACAATATTGGGATGACGTACCCTACTCGGGGGTGCATCTAAGTTGGTAACTGATTCACATATATGACATATCTAATCTATCACTGGATCATAAACGATTTTGACCCACTTCGAACAAGGTTGCTGCCAGCACGGGGAACTGATTAGATAAAGAGGTAAACTATATGATAGAATGCCCAGTTGTCCCACCCTTGTGGATATGTGGATATCACATCCTGAGGCTCCGGCTGCCACCAAAAACAGGGCCGAAAGCGCCGCTGCAGGGCCTACACCACAACGGGCAAAAGGCTGGGGAATCAATTCGCCAACATGTGAGGATGTACGATTCTTGAAGATGATAGCCTTCTCCTGGTATGTGTAATTATATATATATATAATTATAAATAATTATATATGTGTATCAAGCATGGTTCAACGGACCAACAAAAACAACATATTTAACATATGAATCAATATCCTCTTCCAATGATGATCAGCGATTGTCGTAGCAAATCGCCGCGCAGGATACCCCGACCAAACCAGGTCCGGCGCCGGCCTGACCAGCAGAATCGCTTGGGCTCCTGGGCTTAGCTCCGAACTGCTCCTTCCAAACCGGATTAAAAACTATATGGGTTTGTCTGAAAATAGTGTACCCCTACACCCAATGGTTAATGATCATTATCCCTACTATAAAAAAGGGCTATAATTGGGGGTATACCCCATTTTCAGACATACCCATATTATAATATTATAAGACTGGGATTCCACCGATCTATCCCATATCTATCCCATATCTATCTCATATCTATCCCATTAAATCACCATGAAATCACCCAGCTCCGCCAGCTCTCCGGGTTGCGTCCGAGGGTCCATGAGCTCCCCAGGTTCTGCCAGCAGCTTTCGGCTGTCGCCATCCTCCTGCACCGCCAGTGAGGCCGTTAGAACTAGCGAGGTTGACCAACTCAAGCAAAGGAAATGGAGGATCTTAATAGATTTCAATAGATTTCTTATAGATTTCATAGATTTTATTTTAAAGGAATTTTCACCCAAAATTGTGTTTTAACAAAGGTGAAAAAAAACGGATGAATGGACATTTTGACTAGGAAACCAGGCGAAAACCAGCAGAACATGGGGGTTGACAACAGGTGGGTAGGAAGGAGAAGGCTGATGGAAAACTGCTTTAATTGAAGGGTGAGTTGAGATTTAGGGTACTTTCCGAGGCGTATCCAGCAACAAAACCATCTTCAGGACATCATGTTTCAGTGATTCAGGTTGCCTATGAAGGGTAAAGTGCAATGTGCAATACCTTTTCTAAAAAAACAAACCCCACTTGACGATTTCGAGAAGGCTCGAAACCATATCCCTAAAGTTTGGGTTGATCATTGGTTTACGACCTGAAACCACATCTACCATCTAGTAGACTCTAGTAATTTAACGTAGCTATGGAACATCACCATTTCTTTTAAAGGAAACCATCATAATTCATCGATACATGAGCCATTTGACATAGCAAACTGTTAAATAACCAGCAGGGGGTGTATCCCCCAGAATTTTCAACATCCAACCTGCTGCTTTGGCCCGGCACCTCAACGAGTTCTGCAAGTTCGAGCCTACTGAAGATCGCCTCGAAGGTGGCTGGGTTTAAGGGCAGGATGCACATTTTGACACCCATCAAACATGGTGAAACATACTGCAAATGAATGTTTGATGGGTATATGTCAGGGAGTAATCAATACTGAATCAACATGTTGAAACATGGTGAAACATACTGAATCAAACCTTTTTTGATGGATCAACTGAGGCTCTGGGTCTGTATATGTGTATATATATAATGCATCCACACTTCGGATTTAACAAAAAATACTAATTTTGTCCAACATAGGATGTCATCAACAAAAATGGATCAAACCTTGGGGATTGGAAGCAGCAAATGCTTCAGGACTACCAACATACAAATGAGCCAATCACAATTAGGGAATATGCATGAATATGCAGTGTGTATGTGTATGGGTATATATATATTATACACAATCAGCATCGCTCCGAAATGCTCTCAAGTGTTAAATTTCACGAGGTCTTGGGGTTTTGGGATTTTTACGGTATATTGGGTTTCAAAGTCAAAATGCATCATTTCGAGCGACCTGCGAGCAGAAGGGTCGTGAGGAAAAGTGTTGAATGTTGTGGTTTTTGTTGAATCAGGGGTCCACAGGTCCAACTGGCGTTCCAGAGAAACTGAAACAGTCGGAAACAGTCGGAAACAGTCGGAAACCGTCGGAAACAGTCGGAAACAGTCGGAAACAGTCGGGAGCGGCCCGGCGTGATCGTGCCAAAATTGTCAATCCGCCATTTTTTTGCAAAAAAAAACGTTCCGCGCAATCCCCTTTTTTTTTTGAAAGTGCAACGGGAAACAGTTGGAAACAGTTGGGGCTCGTACCTTTGACTCGGCAAAAAACGAGCTATTTAAAACCATTTAAGGTTCATTTTCTTTATAAACTTGTTTTAAATAGCTCTTTTTTTTGCCGAGTCAAAGGTACGAGCCCCAACTGTTTCCAACTGTTTCCCGTTGCACTTTCAAAAAAAAAGGGGATTGCGCGGAACGTTTTTTTTTGCAAAAAAATGGCGGATTGACAATTTTGGCACGATCACGCCGGGCCGCTCCCGACTGTTTCCGACTGTTTCCGACTGTTTCCGACTGTTTCCGACTGTTTCAGTTTCTCTGGAACGCCAGTTGGACCTGTGGACCACTGATTCAACAAAAATCACAACATTCAACACTTTTCCTCACGACCCTTCTGCTCGCAGATTGCTCGAAATGATGCATTTTGACTTTGAAACCCAATATACCGTAAAAATCCCAAAACCCCAAGACCTCGTGAAATTCAATACTCTCAAGCATGAATTTTGAATGCGACAATTTGACCTTATGCCCTATGTATCATCATCTTTTGTGAGCTGGGCCACGATGTCTTCTCAAGTTCTGCTAGTTATTGTAATATAATATATATATAGCAAGATATATAGCATATAATATAATATTAATATAATACAATATATATATAATATTCAAAATATATAATGCAATATGATGCATATATATATAATAATAGATATAAATGATATATATATATATAATAATAATAATAATAACAATAATAATAATCAGAATAAAAAAATATATATATGATCTTATTTGGGGAGTTCCATTGTTTGCTATTGTTGAATTGCTAAATCGGCTAAATCGAACGTGCGTTGGCGATGGAGTGGCATCTCTTGGCATCTGCCTAATTCATGAACTGGCACCATAA